CATGTTCTTGAGTCCACCATCAGGAGAACACTGGACAACAATGGTGTCATGGCAGGGTTGAAGGAGGAAGACCCTGATCTCCATAAAGAACATTGCTGCTCATCTGCAGTTTGTTAAGGATTTTGTGGACAAACCAGAAGACAGTTGGAAGAATGTTTTGTGGACGATGAGACAAAACAGAACTTTTTGGTTTAAATGAAAAGTTTAATGTTTGGAGAAAAGAAAACTGCATTCCTGCATACGAACCTTATCCCATCTGTGAAACATGGTAGTGGTAGTATCATGGTTTGGGCCTGTTTTGCTGCGTCGGGGCCAGGACGACTCGTCATCATTGATGGAACAATGAATTCTGAGTTATATCAGAGAATTCTGAAGGAAAATGTCAGAACATCTGTCCATGAACTGAATCTCAGGAGAAGGTGGGTCATGCAGCAACAATGATGCTCAGCACACGAGTCGTTCTACCAAAGAATGTTCAAGAAGAATAAAGTTCATGTTTTGGAATGAACAAGTCAAGTCCTGACCTTAGTCCAATCCAGATGTTGTGAAAGGACCTGAAGCAGAAGTTACTGTGAGGAAACCACCAACATCCAGAGTTGAAGCTGTTCTGTGCAGAGGAATGGGTTAAAGTTCCTCCAAGCCAAGAATATTTTGTCTCAGTTGTTTAACTGGGTTCTCTTTATCTACTTTTATGAAAACCTGATGATGTTTTAGGTCAGATTGATGCAGAAATATAGAAAATTCTGAAGGGTTCACAAACTTTGAAGCACCACTGTATACAAAGCTTGGAAAGTGAATTGTAATTTCACAAATCCATGTTTTAAGCATTTCTAATCATTACAGATCTTCTCAATTTCAGCCCTCGATTAAGAGTGATAATTATACAGATGGGTAGAAATTAAAAGCACATGAAATCACTTAACAATTTTTCATTTAATTCTTCTCTTTTGATCACAAAGTGGGTTACACAGAGGATTAATTATTCTGAAGACAAAACATTTCATTATTTCACTACCTTTTAACTTCAACACACATAATTATTAAACATTCATTGAACTTCAGCAAAGTCCATGCTCACTAATCCAATATACAATCTGGTATACAATCCAACATTTTTCAGTCAGGTCATCTGGACAGTTTCTTTTTTTTTTTGTGCTGAAACGTTTCACCTTCGATCCAGAAGGCTTCATCAGTCAAGGAAACGCACAACAAAACTGATTCTTCCCCCAACAGCTTACTCCAAAGTGGAACAAACCAGTTCTGCTTGTGATTAGATGGTTTCTTTGGTACGCCTTTCCTCCATTGCCCGCCCTCTTCCTTGTTGGCAGTCTTGTCCAACTGGTTCAAAACGACAAAGTCCTTGACTGATAAAGCACTGATTAATCTCTACAGATTCAGATTAGCTTTGTATAGATCTAATAGAGTGCAGTATGAATGGGTAAATGAGGCACATATTGTAGTGTAAAGAGCTTTGAGTGTCTTGATGAGATAGAAAGGTGCTTTATAAGTACAGCCCATGTACCATTGCATTTGATTCAGTGAATTTAAATTCATATTGTAAATTTATTTATATAATGACTAATTGCTGGATGTCCTGCCCATGAGCTGTTGGCTTTCAGTAACTGTGGACCATGAGCAATTTAGTTGAATAACCCTGGTCTAAGAGTGTCCTAAAATACAGAATTATTGAATAAGTTTGGCTTTTTAGTTTTACTGACTCACACTTTTAGCTCATAACCTGCTCCAGGCCAGGTGATCAGTTCATCTTTTATTATCCCTTGTCACAGAGCGAAGAGAGTGAATTGGAAATACCCTCTGTCGTCTGTTCCTGCGTGTTGAGCATGATAACTTGGAAAACAAGTGAATTACTGACTTCCATTTTAGTGTTTGGCTACATTCTGGCGTAAAAGAGGTCCTTTTGAAAACTGGGTTGCCATGTCAAAATCCAAGATGGCTTCCACCATATGAAAACCTTGTGAGTTGGATAACTTGAAAAATAAGCAACACGCTAACTTCCATTTTGGCGTGTGTGACAGCACCTAGGCGTAAGAAAGGTCATATTAAAGACTTCAAGTTTGTTTTTCTAATAGTGTTATAACTTGGATGACTTATTTACAAAGTGTTCTGCGTTTCTCACTGAACTGAAGTATTATTCATCTTCCTCTTGTCGTTCTAGAACCTCCTGACACACACACACACACACACACACACTTTTTTCTGGATTTTGAGGGTTGCAACATTTTTGAATAAATTCAATAAATTGTCAAATATGAAGAGAAATGAGTCTTTACATTGATTCTGTCAAGTCTGTTTCCTAGTTTGCCCTTTATTACCAGTCTCGCAGCCCTTCGAGTGACTTAAAATCCGAAGCTTTATTTAAAACTTGTAAAGAAACAAAACGTTCTTAGTTTGTCTAATTTTCCTTTGTGTTTTGTACTGCAGCTCGTGGAAACATCTCTGAAAGGTGAGATCTCCTTTGACCCTTGCTGTGCCTACTACCTGTGGTTCATCATGGACTTTTGTGATGGAGGCGACATGAATGCGTACCTCCTCTCTCGAAAGCCCAGCCGTAAAACTAACACCAGCTTCATGCTACAGCTAGGCAGCGCCCTGGCCTTCCTGCACCGGAACCAGATCATACACCGTGACCTCAAACCAGACAACATTCTCATCTCGCAGGCATGCACACCCACCGGCTTGTCCGAGCCGATTCTCAAAGTGGCTGACTTTGGTCTGAGCAAAGTCTGTTCCACTTCTGGGCTCAACCCTGAGGAACCAGCCAGTGTCAACAAGTGCTTCCTGTCCACGGCTTGTGGAACAGATTTCTACATGGCCCCTGAGGCATGGGAAGGCCAATACACAGCCAAGGCTGACATCTTTGCCCTGGGAGTGATAATCTGGGCCATGGTGGAGCGCATCACCTTTGTGGATGTGGAGACTCAGAAGGAGCTGCTGGGGAGCTATGTGCAGCAGGGCTCAGAGATTGTCCCTTTAGGGGAGGCTCTGTTGGAAAACCCAAAGATGGAGCTGCTGATCCCTGCCAGGAAAAAGAGCATGAACAGCCACATGAAGCAGCTGATCAGGGAGATGCTGTCGGCTAACCCTCAGGAACGACCCGACGCCTTCGAGCTGGAACTCAGACTGGTTCGGATTGCATGCAGAGAGCTGGACTGGGATACGTGATAAAAGGGCAATGGGACCCACAGACTCAGCCCTTCCAGCACACGTCCATGTTTCATCGGTTGCTGTTAACGCATCAAACTGTTGAAGTAAGCTGTTTGTAACTATGGGAGGATAATTAGAGTAGATGATGGATGTAAAATGGTTCATTTCCTGTCCTAGTGCATATGGTTCTTCTATTAGCTGTGTCTTTATTACTGAAAGAGAGAGGTGTGACACCCACAGCTGCTGCTGCTGCTTCAAACTGCAGCTTTGTCTCAGGCCATCCACTTCAGACGTCGCTTCCTCCTCACAATCACTTATTTGAGCATAATGGAAGAACAAAAGAGTCAGTTTAACATCTCGTCTCCAAATACCATCATGAACTCTGTGTTAATTGTTACTAAATGCAATATGAAGCAATGTCCTGTGATTTTTTTATTTTTATTTTTTGTTCTCTCTCCAGTCACCTTAGTGTTTATGTTGCTTTTAAAGCCATCTGGGGCATGGCAGAATCTGTTGGAAAAGACTTTCAGCCTGGTCATTAACTCCAGCATTATCTGCAGTATCTCAAGCACATGCAGTTTCACTCTAAATGCTCAGGAAATGAAAACAAACCGCATGAAGATATTTGTAGAGAAATACCAGTTTGATTTAATTTTGCTCCATGCCATCGGGATAAAATAAGATTCAGTCTTGATACTGGAGTGTATATTTGTATCTGTTGGCACTATTAATTTGCAGTGATCAAGTTTGTGAATAAACACTAGGCAGCTGGTAAGTATGTATTGTTTATCCAAATCACTAATTATAAAATGAAGATTTTGTACCCGATTGAAAAAAGTGCAAAATAAGTACCAGGTAATATCAAAATTTTTCAGTAATCCCAGGTTTATGGTGGACATTTAGCGTAGATGCTAGCTTTTAACCAACCATAGTTTTTAAACCCCATTAAAAAGTGATTAGCATCTTGTTCATCACTTATCAAATCAAACTTTTTAAAGTTATTGAGACAGTAAGGGTATGATCATTTGAAATATTACAGAAATGTTTTCATCAGGGTTCAGTAAAAGTAAAATCTACTGCGATCACTTTCTACTACAGTAAATTACGGCAGCTCTAGTAGGACAAACGTCATCGTGATATGCTGCAAGTACACATGACTACTGGTTAAATGGCAGCATAGTTTAATGTTAACAAAATTGTTCAACATTTGAAGATAGAAAACTCTTCCATATTCATGATGAAGTGGATCTAAAAATAGAATATAACTAATGAAAAATCTAAATTAAGTGTCTCATAATATTAGAATATTCCACAGCCAGCTTTTGGTACCTGTAGGCTGGTGCCAAGTCCTACTGGAAAATGAACTCAACATCTCAATAAAGCTTGTCAGCAGAAGGAAGCATGACGTTCATACATATGTACATGTGTGTGTTGGTGTGTGTGTATACACATACATACATACATACAGGTGCTGGTCATAAAATTAGAATGTTATGAAAAAGTTGAATTCAGTAATTCCATTCATAAAGTGAAACTTGTATATTATATTCATTCATTAGACTGATATATTTAAAATGTTTATTTCTTTTAATGTTGATTGTAACTGACAACTAATGAAAACCTCAAATTCAGTATCTCAGAAAATTAGAATATTGTGAAAAGGTTCAATATTGAAAACACCTGGTGCCACACTCTAATCAGCTGATTAACTCAAAACACCTGCAAAGGCCTTTAATGATCTCAGTCTAGTTCTGTAGCTACACAATCATGGGAATGACTGCCGACCATTGTCACCTTGCACAAGGAGGGCAAGACGCAAGAGGTCTGAGCTGTGTCCAAGCACATCAATAGAGAGGCGAAGGAAACAATGTGGTAGAAAAAAGTGTACAAGCAATAGGGATAATTGCAGCCTGGAGAGGATTGTGAAACAAAACCCATTCCAAAATGTGGAGGAGATTCACAAAGAGCGGACTGCAGCTGGAGTCGGTGCTTCAAGAACCACCACTCACAGATGTATGCAAGACATGGGTTTCAGCTGTTGCATTCCTTGTGTCAAGCCAATCTGGAACAAGTGACCGCATCAGAAGCGTCTCGCCTGGGACTGCTGAGTGGTCCAAAGTTTTGTTCTCTGGTTAAAATAAATTGTGCATTTCCTTTAGAACTCAAGGTCCCAGAGTCTGGAGGAGGAGAGGAACAGAATCTATATTGTTGGAGGTCCAGTGTCAACTTTCCACAGTCCGTGATGGTTTGGGGGTCATGTCATTTGCTGGTGTTGGTCCACTGTGATTTCAGAGGTCTAAGGTCAACACAGTCGTCTACCAGGAAGTTTTAGAGACTTCATGCTTCCTGCTGCTGACCAACTTTATGGAGATGCAGATTTAATTTTCCAACAGGACTTGGCGCCTGCACACTGTGCCAAAGTTACCAGTACCTGGTTTAAGGACCATGGTATCCCTGTTCTTAATTGGCCAGCAAACTTGCCTGACCTTAACCCCATAGAAATCTATGGAGTATTGTGAAGAAGATGTGATACACCAGAGCCAACAATTCAGAAGAGCTGAAGGCCACTATCAGAGCCACCTGGACTCATAACACCTGAGCAGTGACACAGACTGATCCACTCTATGCCACGCTGCATTACTGCAGTAATCCAGACAAAAGGAGCAACAACTAAGTATTGATGCTGCACATGCTCATACTTTTCATGTTCATACTTTTCAGTTGACCAACATTTCTAAAAATAATTTTTTTAAATACGTCTCGAGTAATGTTCTAATTTTCTGCGATACTGAATTTAGGAGTTTTCATTAGTTATCAGTTATAATCATCAACATTAAAAGAAATAAGCATTTGAAATACCAGTCTGTGTGTAATGAATAAATATTATATACAAGTTTCACTTTTCAAATGGAATTACTGAAATAAATTAACTTTTTCATGATATTTTAACTATGAACTGTGTGTGTGGGTGTATTTCAATTCAATTTATTTTTATATTGCCAAGTCACAATAGAAGTTGTCTTGGCATTGAACAAAAACATTCACATACCTAAAAAATCGTATTAGTAAAGTTCTGTATGTAAAGAAGCCAGCAGGCTCGTTAAATCTTCACTTCGTCTCAGTCTCCCATCCTGAGCAAGCACGAAGGCAACAGTGGAAAGGAAAAATTCCCTAACTCCAGTTAAGACTCTGGCAGCAGCATTTTGGATCAGCTGAAGACGTTTTAAAGAAGTATTTGGACACCCAGATAATAAACCATTGCAATAGTCCAGTCTAGATGTGACAAATGCATGAACCAGTTTTTCTGCATCATTTTTAGATAAGATGTTTCTAATCTTTGTGATATTACGCAGGTGGAAGAAGGTTGTTCTAGTAACGTTTTTAATGTGGGGGATAAAAGACATGTCCTGATCAAAAATAACACCAAGATTTTTAACATTAGAGCTGGAGGACAGATTAATGCCATCTAAGGAGGGAGAAGACTGAAAAATTCATTCCTAAGGTGCTCAGGTCCAAAAACCAAAACCTCAGTTTTGTCTGTGTGCAACAGAAAATTAAGGGTCATCCAGGTTTTTATGTCTTTAAGACATGCTTGTAGTCTATGTAGCTGATTGGATTCATTGGGTTTAATGGACAAATATAATTGTGTGTCATCAGCATAACGATGAAAATTTATCCCATGCTGTTTAATAACTTTACCTAATGGAAGCATATATAAAGTAAAGAGTATTGGCCCAAGCACTGAGCCCTGAGGAACTCCACGACTAACTTTGGTGTATGAAGAAAGATTTATTATTTACATTTACAAACTGGAATCTATCAGATAGATATGATTTAAACCATTTTAGAGCTGTTCCTGTAATCCCAATATCATATTCAAGCCTCTGTAGTAAAATATTGTGATCAAATGCAGCACTGAGGTCTAACAGGACCAGTATAGACACAAGTCCATTGTCTGAGGCCATGAGCATATCATTAGACTTTTACTAGTGCTGTTTCTGTGCTATGATAAGCTCTAAACCCAGACTGAAACTCTTCAGATTATTTCTTTGTAGATGTTCACGCAACTGACCTGCAACTATTTTCTCTAGAATTTTTATAGACGAAAGTTAGATTAGATATAGGTCTACCTGTATAGTTGGCCAGAATTTCTGAATCAAGGTCAGACTTCTTAAGTAAAAGTTTAATTACAGCAACCTTAAAGCTCTGTGGTACATAACCATTCATTAAAGACAAATTAAGTAGATCCAAAATGGATATTAATTAGGGAAAAATTCCTCTTAATACAGTCTGGTTGGGATGTTTTATGTGATTTTAGTGAGCACAGTATTATTGGTTACAAAAATGAAAAAAAAAAGCCTGAATGATCCTAGAGTTAAAAACAAACTAGAGCATTTAACAAGGGATGCCTGAGCTGTGTTGATCAAATCCACTCCTGTGAAACACCCGTGTTGCTTCAGAACCTGCTTAATAATGTGCAGTACAAGCAGCTTGTGTTTTAAATGCAGTGATATGAAGATTACCACCTGAATGTGTACAAAGTGTGAGGATGTGAAGGTGAAAGCACTTTTATTTCTTTTTGTTTGTTTTGTTTTTCTGCTGCATTATGAGGCTGGGCCAGTCCTGATAACAGCTGGGATTTGTTTACTGGTTCGGGCTCAATGTCAGTTTCTGGTGGTTCTTACACGTGCAGCAGCTCTTAACTTCAGGGAAGAAGCAAGACAAGACAGCCACGAAGCAGAGGATTTTATTTAATTTTATTTTTCCCTATTTCTTTGACACTGTGCTGTTGTTTGACTTCACCCCCTCTCCCTGTCACCTCCTGCGTTTCCTTAGGCTCTGAGTTTTACAGTAATCCATTTAGTTACGCCTCTCAAGCTAATTCTAAGCTTATTGCGTTGTTGCTGAACTTGATGCGTGAGACTCTTTTACTTTTCCCCAGGTGTACATAATGTGTGTACTTTCTCATCTTCTTACAAGAACCCAGACAAACAAACAGTCTTGACTTGTTTGCTGCTCTCAAGCTTGAAGTAAAATGAAATTACCCTCAATTTGTTGTCCATGCTAACCTGCCTGTCTTAGCTTTTAGCTGCCTTTCAGCTGCAGCAGCTTAAACTCCTCATCCCTGATGCAATTAAGATTTGCTCCCATTTTTTTAGCACTAGAGTGGCCTCGCTGATGCTGAACAAAGTGTTTTGTTATAAACAGAAACCCCACAGAGTATTGTCTTCATGTTTTAAATGCAGTACAAAGTTCAATCTAAGGGCGCTCAGCTCACGAGCAGCAAAGTTCAGAATCTCCCGTCCTCTCACGAGTCGAGTCATTTCCAACCAGATTTCTGTCATGTACCTTGTGGGGAGGAAGGTGTTTGCCAACTTGGTCTGAACTTTTAGGAGATTTTACTTTCTTGTTGCATTCACTTGTTTTGCACATGTGTAAAAACTGTACAGGATCAACAGGGAACTGCTGAGGTCGATGTACAAAAAACTTCATTTGTTCTGTTTTTCAAATGTAAATTGCTGTGATTACTTTTTTTTTTTTCCACACTGAGAATCAAGTTTCCTTCAGTTGGTGAAAACGATGTGATGAACTTGCAGAACAATAAAGTTGGTGTGCTTGTGATAATTGTATGGATGTGTCTGTAAAGTCTGGGGAAATGAAGTTGTACTTTCTCTATTTGGAAACTTTTACGTTTCCCCCCAGCTGATGAAAATTGGCCTTCTACTTGTTACACTTTAGAAAATGATGGGCCTGCTCACCTACCAGGCAACTTTTTTATTTTTATTTTTTGCAAGAACTGCAACAACAGAAAAATACGTTAAAAACTCGGACACTGTACAAAAACCCCTCTGTACACTGCCTCATCATGCACTGACTGAATTTCTCCTGCACAATGTTACACAGTACACTTGTACTGTAATGCAGGGGTCCTCGACCACCGGGCCGCGGACAGATTCTGGTCAGTGGGTCAATGGGTACCGGGCCACACACAAAAATAGTTTTTATTTTGAAAAATCACCATATTCTCTCCACCACATCTCACTCTTGTTGCAGGTCAACATACACAAGTGGTCAGTTTGAA